ATTCGTTACCTAGACTTGCTAGAGGGCGAGCACGTCACCTCTTTAGTTGGAGCCATGATGGCCTTTCTTCCTCGTCGCCAAGCGGGGCGCCCGAGTCCGGGAATTTTCGAGTCACAAGAGGGGCGCGTACCGAGTACGCACTGCCACTGGCACTGGCGATGGAGATGGCACCGATGGTATGATACCAAAGGATAGGCACTGTTACCGGCACAAGCATACGTTCAGGCACAGGCACAGGCACAGACTACGTACGTAGAGTGGAAACAGCTGAAGCGTGTGGTCTGGCAAGCCAAGACCGACTTGGGGGCCTGACCCCTGGAAGTCGTGCGATTTGACAATTTGGGGGAGGCGTTTGTCGGCATCCACTGACGAGCCCATAACAACTGACATGTCACTTTATTGTGAGAACTGTTCACTGTCTGCTGTATCTACTGTAAAAGGCCTTGAGTCTTAGTTCGGGGTCTTGGGCCTTTTGTCTTAGGTTCGAGGTCTCAAATGCCCCAAGTCCCGAAAGCAGGAAGGGTAAATGTTTCAATAGCAATCGTTGCTCCCCATTCTCTACACCAAGCTAATAGCGGCACTCCCCCCCTCCTGGTTGAGGTTTGTTCGATGGGCACTCTCTTCCTCTATGTGTCGTGATCGCTTCGGTCCTTTCGCTGATACCATGCATGCACACCTCAATTTACTCATTGATTCAATTCGTCCATTCAGACAAAATAGACACACGTGTAGACACAGAAAAGACAAGCCAAATTGCTTACATATCTTTCCGCGGGTCAGTTTTGCCACCGTCGCATCATTTCCGCACCTCATGGCGCGCCTAACGGGCCTTGGCACCGCGGCCTTAGAAACGAAGCGGTTTAGCTTGGGGGGGTTATCCGACCTGTTACCTACCAAGGCATGCTACGAGCAACGGACAAGTTAGCGAAGTGAAAAAAATGAGCCGATCGAGAGAAACCCTGCCGTAGCCAGGCGCAAACGGACTCTGGACTAGACAGCGTTATCAGGTAGACAAGATAGGCCACTTGGGTAGCTACCAAGTGTTCGCACACGTGCTAAGGGCTCATCCCCACCCCCCGGCGCCCGCCTCTGTCGCCAGTGTTCCCTGCTCGCCTGGTACCGCGCAGCTTTCAGGGCAACGTCCAAACACAAGAGGCTTGGTTGCGACTTGGAGCCCGAACCGACCTGGATCTGGACCTCGACTCAAGCTTGGTGTAATGACTGGAGACCAGTCTCCCCTGCGGGGCGTATCCCAAGCGGGGTAACGAGTACTTGGCAACCTAGCGGTCGGTAACGCTAATCAGCACATGGGGATAGCTTCAGGGCTTCTCAGAGATGCCCGCGAGTGCGAGTTGGCCCAGAGGTCAGCCTGTTGGTCATGTTGGTCATGGCTTGGCTGCGCCCACCGTCAAAGCACTCACTCACACACACACACTCACACACACACACACACACCCACACACACACACACAAATACGTACATACAGACATATGCACCGCCTCGATACGAGCCAACGGGGTTGTGCCCGTGTGGCAAACGAGGCAAGCCAAGATGCGTGGGCTAGATAAGTAAGGCCAACTACTGATGTGAAATCGTGGAACAGAGCAGGACCCCTGACAAGCTATCCGTCTCCTTAGGTCGATTCAGCACCTATCTCTCTCCTACTGAGATCTCACCCGCGACCCAAGGCAGGAAGCATGGGCCTCTTTGTCTTGGGACTTCGCCGAACCCCGAGAGTCTCACCCCCAGGGTACAAACAAAGTCACTGACACCGGCAGAGGGCTGCACTAAAAGGCAGACAGCCTGCCGGGAAAAATGTGGCTTCTCGACTTTCCAGTTGCGGCAGCATCTCAACAATACCGTTTTGTCTCTCGGCCCCATACTGTAGCCCAGTGCTCGGTTCAGGTCTAGATGCTATGACGTGCTTCGAGAGGCTTGACAACAAGGGCGACTGACGGCCTTCACAGCATAATGGCTCCGAATCAGCAGAGGCCTTGTCAGTCAAACTCGAATGATTTTTGCCGTGTTCTGCTATCTGGTTCAGTACATGTATTTCCGGAGAGATGACGCATTGCAGATGGATAGAGAGAAGAGATGGTGATAGAGACATACAGTAGACAGAGTTTCGACTCGTGCCCACACCGCTCCGCTCTTGGTCTAGTAGCCTGCACGATCTCCGAGATCAGCGTCCAGGACAGACGGTGACAGGCAGATGGGTCCCGTACATCTGAACTACCTGCTTGCATTGCTTCGCACTTTAGGGGACTCTTGCCAGCGGTATTGCCTTATCGCCACTGGGCACTACTGATCACCCACCCACCATCTTGCGAGACGGCGAAACCGAGCTGGGTTTGGATCCAGCGTCCATTCCCTACCCCTTGATCCGGGTCGAACATGCAGCATCGCGCCGGGGCACGCCGGGGGGGGGGTCTCCACTCGCTAAGGTGATCCTGCACAGGGTCGCAAGGGGAGAGGGGCATGGTCGGTGATGACGGCGGGAGGGCAGATCAACCGGGTGGATCATGCATCCTACATGGCTCCCTCCAACGCCCACGCTGTGCCTGTTGGGATAGACTCGAGTGTCGAGGGGTGTGTTCGTTGAGAGGGGTGGCTCGCGAAAGGGCTTCTCTAAAGGGAAGAGGAGGGGCGTGTACCATGTAGTTGCTGGAATGTTCAATGTCGTCTTCCAAGCGCGATCCATGGCAGGGTGCGAGCGAGCCGTTATGCTGGGATCCCAGTCGACAAGGCAAGCAAGCATCATGGCTTCAGAAGAGTGGACTTCTCGAAGAGCAGGCGTTCAGCTGCCAGGCGCAAGGGATCGACATGCCCATGCCTATGCCCCCATGGCCTTGTCCCTTGTCCCATGCTCCTCGGTGGGACTCTCTCTCTCTCTCTCTCTCTTAGTCTCAACAGCAACCACAGAATTACATGGTACCCTCCCCAGCGAGCTTCCGTCCCCCTCCAAGACCCATCCCCCCTCCACTCCTGTGACTGAGACTTCGTCGGTGCATCCAGCTGGTATTACCCTGAACAGGGGCGTCCAATCACCAGGGGCGGCAGCAGCCTGGTGGAAGAACAAGCAAAAACACTATGATGAGCTAGTTTTACATGGGTTAGCCGTCACCCCATTCCTCGCCTCCGCACTGACGCCCGCCGGCACATGCTCAAGCTAGAGCTAGCTTGGGTAGCAAACCAGGTCTCGCCGTCAGGCTAAACGGCGTACCGGCGGCGAGGTTGTATATCTCCGCTTAGCATCCCACGTCTTGATCCCGTCCTGACGAATCCAGAGCTCCAGGAGTTCTCTCCGAAGCAACGACCACATACATACACATCCCATCATACATCATACTGGCACACACAAAACCCACGATACCCCTTGCCCTCTTTCTCTATAGTCACCTCCGAGCCAGATCCCACCGCATGCACCGCACACAATCATGTCGGCGGTACCGAAGACTGAAGTCAAAGATGAGACGCCCGAAGTCACGGCTCGGCGGCTCAAGAAGCGTGAGCTAGACCGCAAGGCCCAGCGCATGGCCCGCGAGCGCACAAAGAGCCGCATCGCCCACCTCGAGGAGCTCGTCGGCCATCTATCCCACAATGACACCAACGCCGAGGTCTCCCACCTCATGGAGCGCCTGCTGCAGACAACCCAGGAGCGGGACAAGCTCGTAGGCGTCCTGGCCTCGTTGGGCACCACGATCCGCCACCATACCGACGCCCTGACGGCAGCCCAAGCAGAAGGATCGTCCAGTGCTGTCGTCGCCGCCATGCAAGCCCTCAGTGACCGCAGCGAGCGAAACGTAGACGTCAAGCCCTTTGACCAGCAGGCACAAGCGCAAGCGCCACCCCAAGTTCACAACCACGGCCCGCTGACGACGAGCCACGGACATCGTGAACCGTATGCCCCTACTGATCCTCACATGCAGCAGCATCCGTCGGCTCCGCCGCCGCCGGCATACGGCTGGGGGTTCGAGAACCCCGACCTGCACCAGCAGCACCAGCACGCACAAAACACGGCAGCCATGCCAACATATTCTTCACAGGACTTTGACAAGCTGCCGCCGGGAAATCCGATCGCTATGCCGAGGAGCGACTCGGAGTTCTCTTCAGAGACCAACATTTCGGGAGAACACTATATGGTGCCACCATCAACATGCCACCCACAATGCGAATGCCTCACCATCATAGAACCGCCGCCAGGCCACCCCGGAAGCGGCCGCAACACATGGCGCGATGCTAACATCGCTCTGGGGAAGTCTGTGAAGCTGTTGGAGGCGGATGCTGTTGAGGCCGAGGACCGCGCGAGCCAGGACACGCCGGTGCGGGCCATCGTCGAAGGTTGGGACAGCGTCGAGCGGGCCGGCTTGATGACGGATTCATGGCGTAAACTGCGGGTTCTCGATGATATCTGCTTCTCAAAGTGCGGCGCCGTCGAGCGCTTGGCCGTGTTGAGGATGATGCACCTCCTCATCTGTTGCCACGGCGATCCCTCTCCAGAGCGCCTCGCTACGTTACCACGATGGTACCGTAAGAGGTATGTTTTTTCCCCTCATGGCATGAGGGCAATTCTCTCCATGTGAAAGAGTTATCCTTGAATAGCGTTGCTAACCCGTTAGTAGACCCTCGCAACATGCCATCCCTCATCCGTATGCGATCGATTTCCTCGTCTGGTGTGTACCCGAACCTCCCGCTCCCCATTGCCATTCTTTGCTTTTATCGTGTACATACATCCCGAACCCCACCTTCGAAGCAATCACCCTCCATATCCTGGTACGATTTCGACGACGACTGACAGGAAACCCACCAGGCCCGGCATCCGCGAGCGTTTCGTCTTCTCGCAACACCGCTACTGCACGAACCAGTTCTGGGAGCTCTTCCGCTCGAACCTCACCCTGGTCTGGCAGTTTGGCTTTGACGACTGCTTCATGCAGAACACGGCGACGGGGCGCTTCGAGCTGGCGCCGCTCTTCGAGGAGCGCATCCGCGACATCAAGGCCTGGACCATGAACGCCGACTTTCTCAACCAGTACCCCGAGCTCGCCGACGACATACCCGTCTTCACCGGCATCCCCGCCAAGCCGAGCACGCCGCGGAACGCCCTCGCGCAGCAGCAGGCGCGGTGGAGCACGACGCCGAGGCCCATCAAGCGCGACGTCGACGAGCCGGCCGAGCTCGCGCCCCAACAGCAGCAGCAGCAGCAGCAGCAACAGCAGCGCCAGCAAGCCGAAGACGACCTGGCCAAGAGCTCGGCGCTCGTCGTCACGACGCAGGCGCCCGCGTTCGCCGACGACGAGTACATGGCCCAGAGCCCCGACGTGCACGTCACCATGGCCGGGCAGCCGACGTACGCCTACGACCAGTCCGGCGTCATTGTGCCGACGACGCTGGCGCCGGCGGACCTCGGCCCGGGGGGGCAGCATGTGTATCCTGGCGGGTCGTGGTTTTACACATACTGCCAGCCCGGCTATACGTGAACGCAGTCTCGAGGCAGGAGAAAAAGACAACGGGATATCTACATTTTTGATGCCTGCTACCTACGATATGATGCAAATTGGTATTTCCACATTCTTGGACGCCGTAACCCTGGTAAGATACAAACAAACGCTCGCTACACCACATACATCATGTATACATGAACAAAAGAAAGAAAAGATAAGAAAAACTGACAGAGACAGACACTACGCCCCCACACCAGCACACGGCGCCGAAGCCGGCACGGCGAAATCATAGGCCGGCGCGACGGGATCGTAACGCTGCAGGAACGAGGAGGGTCGGTCGTCCTCGAGCAGCTCGTCCAACTTGTGGCGGCCGTAGCAGGGGGGCACCTCCATGCTGCTGTTCAGGCCGCCGGCGGCGCAGACGTGGACGTCGGGGCGCCGCGAGATGAAGTAGTCCGAGCCCCCGACGGGGGCGTTGGGAGAGATGTAGAGCTTGATGGGAATCGTGGCTCGGAACTGCACCAGTCAGTTTTTGGAATGGGGACCACTTGGCACACGACATGTAATGAGGGGGGAGGCAATATTGGCGGGGAGAGTGACGAGGGAAATATATCGGCCGATGTGCTAGGTCGGCATTACAGGAGGAATATGAGGAGGCAGCCACCAACCCAACAGGCAACATGCAACAGACAGGAACGAGGGGACGAGACGCCTCCAGAAAGAAAAACTCACATTCGAAATCATATCAGGTCCCTCCGCAAACGTCACGGCGAATTCCACCTGGTGACTGACCTTGATGCCGCGCACATCAACATCAGGCGAACACTTGATCAGCGTCGTCGGCATCGGCAGCCGCCTCTGGACATGCCACTCGCCCGCGGCGCCGTCAAACCGGCTGATGCGGCCGTTGGCATCCATCGCCAGGTCCCACGCCGCCGCGAGCCGATACCCCTCCACGGTGCTGGTCGTGGTCCCGGCGCCGGGGCAGGCCGAGGGCACCTGCGTCTCGAGCGAGTGGACCTCGCGCAGCAGGCAGCGGACGGGGCGCAGGGCTATGTCCTTGGCGAGGGCGGTGAAGCGCAGGTCGACGGGCAGGACGGTGCCGAGGGCGATGGCCTGGTGGGCGAGGGACAGGGAGTAGGCGAGGCGGCCGGTGCTCGTGCCCTCGACGGTGGCGGCGTCCATGAGGGCAAAGGCCGAGCTCGGCAGGGTGCGGATGATGCGGATGGGCTTCATGGCCTGAGGCGATGTCTCGCCAGGCGAGTCGCGAACGGTGCTCGCCTTGAGGTCGTAGGTGATGCTGCAGCGGGGACAGCCGCGGGCCGTCTCGGGGACGTGGCCGGGGATGAGGTGCTCAAAGGGCCACTCGTAAGTGCCCTTGGGCAGAGGGCCGCCGAGAGATGCCGAGGGGACGTCGTCGATGAGGAACGGCGCCCAAATGTGCTGGTAGACAACGCCCGTCGTGGACGAGGCGGAATGCAGGTCTGATTCGTGGTCGCTGAGGGCCATGTTAGCTGCCTGTGTTCAGTGCACTAGCTACCTACCTACGCAAAGCAATGCAAACAAGAAAGAAAGGGGATTCGATGCCACATACGATGTCCTGTGATAGCCGACCAACTGCAGCTGCACACCCCTGGCGCGCTGCGCGGACGGCAGGCAAAGGGTTACCTTGCCACGGATGTACTGGCCCGGCGCCTCGCGTGCGGAGCCGCTCAAAATAACAAAGTCGCTCTGGGGGCTGTAATCGACATTAGCAAAACGATATCTCGGACGGGTGGGCAGCACATCACTAGGCAGAAGATTCAAGGGCGGAAAAGCATACGAAATCTTGATATAGGCGTCGCATTGACCGCCGGTCAGCCTTGTCAGCCACGAAGGCATTATGTGTTTCGGAGTTTGGGGGAGAATGTCGGGCTCGGGTTTGTTGGTACAGCAGGGTCTAGTCGTGTCTCTGTGAGATCAAAGTGGGTGTGGCCAGAGGGAGACGAGAGACAGAGAGACTCGTCTCAGTCGAGGCTGCTTCAAGAGAAATGCTGGAACGGATGTGGGCGTGTTCTTATGCCACAGGGGAGAGCTTCTTTGGTGGGCTGAGGGTGAGATTCTGGGGGTTCTCGGCTTGTTATTGGAATGCGTGATCGGCGTCCAACAGCAACACAGGCCAGATGGACAGCAAGGTCGCAGAGAGAGGATAGCACGAAAGTTGGTACAGAGAGAAGAGTGGTTGAGTTCCAACGGTTGAGACAAGACAAAAGGAAACGGACTCTTGAGACTTCCTGGTTCAGCAGGAGGCTCGTTCAATAGACAGGCGTTGGTGCCTGGAACGAATATATAATCACCAATGCTACACTGACTAACTAAGTTTCTGACGTGTGAGGAACAAGGCCGGGCGAGACATGGTTCACAAGCGGATCGGCATTAAAAAAAGAAAAAGAAGAAAAGACCCCCAAGAATCCACCCCAGCCAGACAAGTCTCACGAGACACACGTTGCGAAGGACAAGATATGCCAACGCGCTCCGCAGGCTTTTCCAAACTCGTGGCTTCCGACAAGGCCGCGGGGGAGACCAGCCTGGTCAGCGTCATACCATGGTACGTGTGCAGATGAATCCCGAGGTCGGGTCTCAGTGGCGGAGCGTGCTCCCAGTGGCTGGTTCCGTCGGGCACTTACTGATGTATCTTGTAGTCCAATGATTTCGGCACCCTGAATTCCACTTGTCTGTGGACGGTCTCGGAGGGTTTCCCAGGCCGAACACTCCGCTTGGCGGGAATCGCCCCGGCGGGTGACAAGGACGACGTGGGCAGGGCTGTTGGGCTGCTGGGCGGCTGGGCGCATGTCTGATCCAATCCTGATTCGGAAGTTCCGACGATGCCGCTGGGTTGGGAGGGGAACCTCCGCTGACGCCATGACAGCAGCAATCAGGGCCGTTTGACAACGACGGCTAAGCCGAAACTTTGGCTATGACGATTTCTGCTGTAGAGGAAGAGCTTGACGGGTAATTTGAGATGCCTCGGAATGAATTGTGGCGGACAAGCCGAATGACCATGTCCGGCATCTTGTACATTCGCGGGCCGGATGCTGCCGGTAGAGCGGGGTAAGGACGGCTCCGGGTAGTGGGGCCCAGCCGGCAGTCCCAGTCTCTGATCCAGTCTTGTACCCCGCGATGAAGCCCAGAACTGACCAGCAGACTGAGACAGGTTTAGGCCTATGTGGATGAATTGATGAAGAGAGCATTGACAAATGACTGAGCTTGCCCTGTCTTGCATTTTTCTTGTCTTCTTTTCTGCTCATCAGTCCAAGTCCACTCTTGGCACCAAAGAGAAGTATTTCCAACAACGAGTGAGCCACGTGACGAAAGAGGGGTAACAGGTGCCTGTGCCTGCCTCACGTCCATCTTGAGAAGCGCGGCAGGAACTCAACTGAGGCGCTTCGGTTCAGCCACAACGTGATATCGCCTCATAACGCTCCTGCCCTTGTCATGCCTGGACCTTCAAATACCTTCCGGCGATTTTCTTCAAGTCAGACAACATGGCCTGATTCCACCATCCACCATCCACCATCAACCATCCATCATCAATCTTGCCCTCCCTTTCAAGCTGGTCGGTCCCCCCAAACAATCTCGAGGTGTGTCATCCCCGAACCATCCGAACCCAGAACCTAAACTCACCGACCCTCGCAGCATGGGCATGGACAAGGCAGACGAATACCCTTTCGACCTCGGCACATACACCCGCCCCGTGACCACCCCCTCTGCCGAATGCCAGGCATGGTTCGACCGCGGCCTCGTTTGGTCGTATGCTTTCAACCATGAAGAAGCCGCCGAATGCTTCCGCCGCGCCATTGCGCATGACGGCACCTGTGCCATGGCCTATTGGGGCCTCGCCTACTGCATCGGCCCAAACTACAACAAACCCTGGGCCTTTTTCGACGCCGACGAGCTCGCGCGTGTCGTGCGTCAGGGCCACGACGCTGCGCTCCAGGCACAGGCTCATCTCGGTGCTGTGACGCCTGTGGAGCGAGCCCTCGTCGCCGCCGTCCTCAGTCGATACCCCCAGCCCACACCGGACGCCGACTGCGAGCCCTGGAATGTCGCCTTTGCCCATGCCATGCAGGCTGTCCATGCCCAGTTCCCCGACGATCTCGACGTCATCACCGTTTACGTCGACGCCGTCATGAACCTCCACCCCTGGGACATGTGGCAGCTCAAGACAGGCGAGCCTACGCCCGGCGCCCAGACACTCGAGATGAAGACCATTCTCGACGGCGCCCTCGGTCTGTCTGACACCGCAGCCGCCTCGGCCACCTCCGTCGCCGTCGGTGCCCCTCCACGAGGCGGCGCCCAGCACCCGGGTCTGCTGCACCTCTACATTCACCTCCTCGAAATGTCGCCCCACCCAGAACACGGCCTCCCTGCCGCCGACAACCTGCGCACCCTCGTCCCCGACGCCGGCCACCTCCTCCACATGCCCTCCCACCTCGACATCCTGACGGGCGCTTATGCTGCCGCCGCCGAGGCCAACACGCGCGCCGCCGCCGCCGACGAGCGCTACCTCGCCCACGCCGGACCCCTCAACTTCTACACCCTCTACCGCAGCCACGACTACCACTTTCTCGTCTACGCCGCCCTCTTCTCCGCCCAGTCGGCCCTCGCCCTCGACGCCTGCCGCCGCCTCGAGGCCTCCCTGCCCGCGGCCCTGCTGCGCATCCCCTCGCCGCCCATGGCCGACCGCCTCGAGGCCTTTCTCGCCCTGCGTCCCCACGTGCTCGTCCGCTTCGGCCGCTGGCACGACATTCTCGCCCTGCCGACCATGCCCGATCCGCCCAGCGCGCCCGGGCACGCCAATCCAGACGAGAACAAGAACGAAACAGAGCACGAAGAAGACGCCTCGCTCCTCTGCGTCACAAACGCAACCCGCCTCTACGCCAAAGCCCTCGCCCACGCCGCCCTCGGCCACCCGTCCCGCGCCCGCGCCACGCAGCGCCTCTTCCTCGCCGCCCGCGCCCGCGTCCCCGCCTCGCGCACCCTCTTCAAAAAAAACGGCCCCCGACCTCCTCGCTAGTATGTATGTTTATATATATAACGCCGAAGATCTGCTTCCGCGAGCGCCCGGGCGCCTGCGAGAACGACGCCCTCGGGGGCTCGCGGCCGCGGTCGCCTTCGTTGA